AATGTTTGTACAGTTATTTATTTACGTGTTTGTAGTGAATTATATTTATTTATTTATTATTGTGCTGTTTTGTGTCTATATGACGAAAACTAGTCTAAACTTTTGACTGCATTACTAGTTTTAAGATAAGCAAGCTAGACTGTAGTGATAAGAATTATTGTTTCCTCTGGAATATCGAACTGTGAACTAGTCAAATTCTAGTCTATTTATTTTAACGTAATGACTACAATCATAATTTTATTTATTGACTGAGGAACTACAACTGTAATCGAACTGTGATGAAATGTGATGCCTGTACGGTATAATGTAAACTGACTGAAAGCTGTGACAATTACTGTATATATTTATATATTATTGTATTTTATGTTTTGCCATCACGGTGAATAAATTCTTATCTATCTATCTATCTATCTCCTCCTTCTTACCCTTTTTATCTTTTTCATTTCTTCTTTTTCATACCTCATTGCTCTTTCTAATGCTGTTCCTTTCATTTCTTGTCTTCCTGTTTCCTATCGTATTAAGTAACTTGGCGTGTTTCTATCTAATCCCAATACCCACTTTATGTATTTTCGTTGTACTCTCTCTATTTCCTCATAACTCTTCCATCCCCAGATTTCTGCTCCATACATAATCACGCTTTTCGCCAGAGCATCGAACAGGTTCATCCTTAGTTCCCAGTATTCTCTAAATAGCTTTTCTCCTAGCCCCCATAGCTTTCCGAGTCCCATATTTATTTTCCCTTCTACATTCTTTATCTGCTTTTTATTTCCGTTATTTCTGCTTATCACATATCCCAAGTAGTTGTTCTCTTTAATCATCTCTATCTTCTCACCTTCCCATTCGAATTTTTCTTCCTTATCCCTTCCTCCTCCTCTCCTGCATTTCATCATCTTTGATTTTCCTACATTTAACTCTAATCCCCTTTCTTGCAGGTATCTTTTTAATTTTTTCAGCATTGCTTTCATTCCACTTTCACTCTTTGCCATCATCACTATATCATCTGCGTATTCTAATGACCATATTTTCTTCTTTTCTATCACTACCCCTCCTTCCTGCACCTGCTTGATCTTCACTTCCAGGTCGGCGAAGGCAAGATTAAATAGAGTGGTTCTCAAAGGGCACCCTTTCCTTACGCCTTTGTAAGTCTCAAATTCCCCAATTATTTCTCCTCCAACTTTTACCTTACTCCCCGTTTTCTTGTATATTTCTTCTATTCTTTTCCTAATTTTTCTATTTATCCCTTTCTCTTTCATTGTTTCCCATATTTTCATCCTCTTTATTTTATCAAAAGCGGCCTTCATGTCTGCAAAGAGTACGAATAGTTTTCCTCCTTTTTACTTATTTCCTTCCCTATTATTGTTTTTAATATATATATTGCGACCATTGTTCCTCTTTTCTTCCTAAATCCCATCTGCGTATCCCTTAGCGTTTCTTTAGCTTCTAGTTTTCTTTCCAGCTTTTTCCTCAGTATTTCCGCATATATTTTATATCCCGTATCCATCAGCGTTATTCCTCTATAGTTTCCTACTTCTTCTTTCCTCCCTTTCTTATATATTGGTACCATTATTCCCTTCCTTCATTCTTACGGATATCCTTCTCTGTTCCATATTCTGTTTAAGCATTTTGTCATATCTTCTATCAAGCCTTCCGTACCTTCCAACCACACTTCATTTGCTATACCATCTTCTCCTGTCGCCTTTTTCTTTCTCATTTGTCTTATTACTTCTTTTACTTCTCTTTCTTTGATTTCTTGTCCTTCCTCTCCTTCGCTGTCTTCGGTTTCTTCCCCTTTGCTTTCTTCCTTTTCTTTCTCTCCCAGTTATTCGTTGAAGTGGTTTAACCATTCATCTTATCCTATATTTTCATCTAATCCAATTCTTTTCTTCCTATTGCCATTCACTTTATCCCAGAATTTTCTTCTCGTCTTATCTTTTCTTATTTCTTCTGCCACTCTTTTACCCTCATCTTCTTTTACTTTTCATATTTCCTCTCTGTATTCTCTCTTTGTTTCTAGGTATTTGCCTCTGTCTCCTTCCCCTTTTCTTACCTTATTTAACTCTGCCATCACCCTAGCCCTTTTTATCTTACATTCTTTTCTCCACCAGCGTTTTTTCGATCCTTTTTTTTCTTACCTTCTTTTTTACAACTACGTTCTTCACTCTATCTATTCAGTCTATCTTCTTCAGTCTATCATTCTTTCTTCCTCTTCTTTTCTTTCTTCCGCTATTTTGTCTCCCAATTCCACCTCTATTGGTAAGTGGTCTGACTTTACCCTCTCCTTTATTTAAACCCTTTTAATCGCCTCATCACCTTCCCCGTTACCTACTGCACAGTCTACCGTTGACATTCCTCTCGCTCCTATATATGTTATTTCTCCCTCTTCATCTCCTTCTTTTCTCCCATTCGTTATCACTAAGCCCATTCCTCCTAGCCATTTTATCATTTCTTTTCCCTCTGCGTTTAACACTTTATCCTTGGCCTTGTTTTCCTCTAGGTTTTCTACTGTCTCCCATTCTCTTCCTTCGTTTTCTGTTCTTGCCTTGAAGTCTCCTTCTATAATTATTGTTTTTCCTCTGTTCTCCTCTATCTCTTCGCTTAGGTATTCATAGTTTTCCTTCTTCTTATGTTGCATATACAACGATGCTATCATGTATTCCCTCTCTGCGATATTTATTTCTCCTACTATTACCTCACTTGTCATTTCTTTCTTCCATTCAATCTTACTCATCCCTTTCCTCTCTCTTACCGCCATTATTCCTCCCCCTATTTCTCTCCCCCTTCTTCTTTCCCTTCTTGAGTCCCTTCACTCTATGCTGTACCCTTTCAGTTGTTTCTCCACACCAGTTCTTGCCCCTTGTCTCTTGACCCATGTTTCCGTTAGCCCTATTATGTCGAATTCCCTAACATATTCTCAGTCGTCTTCCTCCATGCTCCTCACCCCCGCCACGTTCCAGAATAGTATTTTTACTGCCTTTCTCCCCTCTCTCTCCCTTCTCTCCTCTCTCTCTCTTTTATCTCTATTGTTTTCGAAACCCTTCCACCCCCTTTCCTACCATTTTTCCCTCTCTCTCGCTCCACCACCATTCTTCTTCCTCTGACTTCACCCCGTTATGCCACATCTTTACCTCTTTACCTTTACTTTTTATTTCTTTCGCTTTCCTTCTTACTTCCTCTTTTATCCTTCTCTGCTTCCACGTCCAGTCCTGATCGATGCATATCTTTTTCTTTGCCAGATTCTTTTTCTTCTTCATAATTCCTTCTTTTTGTTCCCATGAAGCGCATCTAATTTGCCACATATTGTTCCTTCTTTCTCTCCGATCATCCCTCTCCGCTGTTCCACCTATTCTTCTCAGATTCACTATCTCTCCGTTCATTTCTAGTACCTCTCTTAACCAGACCTCTGCCTCTCCCTTCTTTTCCCATCATAACTCACCCTCTAAGTCTGTCACTATTATATTGTTTATCCTACTTTCTCTATCCATTTTTTCTCTCATATGCTCTAATTCTTCCTTATTGCCTACTTCTGTTCCTCTTTACTTCTTGTTTCTTCCTTCTATGCTTTCTTTTAGTTTTACGCACTCCTCTTTCAACTGGTCCATCCTCTCTCCCATTTTTCCTGCAGTTTCTCTTCTCTACGTTCTGCTTTTTCCCTTTCTTCTTTCGTCTGTTTCTTTCTTTCTTCTCTCTCTCTCTTGTTCTTTCCTAACTTTTCCTATTTCCTTCTCCCAACTTTCTTCTCTTCTTTTCCCGTCTGCCTCCATTCTTTCCATTTTTCCCATTATTTCTTTAAACATTTCTGTCCATTCTTTCCTCCTCCTCACATACCTCTCTTAATTACCTTATATCTGTCCGTATCTTTTCCATTATATCTTCTGCACCACTACTTTTTCCCACTTCTCTTATCGTGTTGTCCAATCCTTCTCCCACCTCCCCTTCCATCTCGCTCCCCTCGCTTTCACTCTTGCATCTCTTTGCCTCTCTCATTTCTCCTCTATTATTCTCCCTCAGCCCCTCTCCGCTCTCTCTCCCCCTCACCACCTTTACTCTTTTCTTCTTTTCCTCCTCTGGGCTTTTCTTATCCATCCTTCCACCTTTATCTCTTAATTTTTCTGTTGTCACAAATCTTAATTCGACTCTCTAATTTTACTCGTGATCCCACCTTTATTCCCTGTCTTACCTTTTCTGTCTCCGCCTTTGCTTCTTACCGCCCCTCCTCTCTGCCTGCCTTTCTCGCTTCCTGATTTTCTCTCTTAACCTCAACTTTTCTTTTTTGTTTATTCCTCTCTTTCTGCTTTTTCCTGCTCTTCTCCAAGCCTCTCTCTCTCTCTCTCTACTCCACTCCTCTTCCGCCTCTACGCTCTTTTCACCTCTATTTCTCTCCTCAAACACTTTTCCTCTTTAACTTTCTCACCAAAACTTGCACTCACAGCCAAGACACGTCCACACTCTTCCACCGGCCTTCCTTCTCCAACTTTTAGAATAGTTTAGATGAGCTATCTTACTATATAGAGTGTTGGCACTGCTGTAGCCTCATACGGTACTCACAACAGCTATTTGTCAGCAACTCACTATCGCGATCCTTGATCTTCATGTTTCTAAGTTACACTATCAATTGCCTATATCAGTGCCTACTAGATTCTAGATAATTAATCAAATATTTGTGTCTGTGATTTAGTTAATAAAAAGAAAAAAGTTACAGAACATTTTTTTTTGTCATTTTGCGATTATTGTAATAATAAAAAATATTAAGAGAATATTTTTTTTGTAAAATATTTTCTGATAAAAAAAGCGAAAATATTATTTCCATATATGAAGCTGTTTTGTACATTATTGCATGTAAAAGCTGGCATTCATGCCGCAGGTTACTATCGCTACTATTGATAAACAGTTAAAAATAGAAAAAATTATATTGTTTTAAACTCTAACAGAATATCATCTATAATATTTCTAACGCAGCTTAAAATAAACTATTATTATTTTGACTTCAATTATTTTTACAGGATCCGAATACAGGCTTCATGACAAATACTCCATATGAAGTTTTCACTATAACTCCTGGTAGGCGTTATAGATTTCGTATGATAAACTCATTTGGGTCTGTATGCCCAGCACAAATAACATTTCAAGGACATCAACTAACGCTTATTGCAACGGATGGTGAACCAGTTCAACCAGTAAATGTAAATACTATTATTTCTTTTTCCGGTAAGTTGATTATTAAAACTTCTATTAAGTTCAAATAATATGTAAATAATTTTTTCAAATATGCTAAAAATAAGTTACTAATGTACGATGAATTCAATCATTATAGTACAATTAGAGTACGTATTTTGTTTCAAACAAGATTTTGACTTCCTAATTTTATTTTATTCACTAAATAAAAAATCTTTAGTCTTTATTTTATTTCTTAAAGTGATTGTAAACTTAATTTAAAGTATTAATATAAACATATTACTATTTGAAAGGGAATAAAGTAATAAAAAGAGATATCAGATCAGGGGATCATTAGATTAGTGGGGATATCGGTTCACGTATGATCTGAAGTTCGTGTGAAGAACATTACGAGCTTCGGTACGTTTGAAAGGTTTTTTCAAAATCTAAGTGATATGTATATTAAATATAAATGATGCTTTTTTCTAATGTCTTCTAATGATAATTCTATTTTAAAAAATGAAACATTTCTTGCCCACTGTTAACTCTTGTTCACAGTCTGATTTGACTTTTCCTTCGTTTTCTACTGCAAAACAGCAACCTGTCATACACAAGAAAACTGAAGAAAAGCGGTACCAGAGCTAAAGCGCTACTTCATATATACGCGTAAATGTGTTAGGGCAATTCGGCGAAAATCAAGACCATATAATGAGCGTGACGTCAAGAGCATGGGAAATTTATTGTTTACGATGCAAAATCAATAATTGGAAAGTTTTTTTTTTACGAACAAAAATATTTTTCAGTCAATTTTCTCGCGCTACTCGAATCTCAAGTTATTATAATCATTCAATATGTATTTGTTAACTTAATTTAATTTACAAGTAAGTATCGATAGTAATTTTGTAACAACGAAATATGATGCAAATTCGAATATATAACAGTGATCCTAACACTTTAAGAAAGAGATACAAGAATTTGATCCTTTGATAACTGATTTTCGACTGAGTTATCAATTAATTAAAATTTATAATTTATTTAAACAATTAAAATTTGTGTTGCGAGATGGCGATCCAACTGTACATACATATAAAATTACTGATAACGATTGTTACCCGGTTGTTAATTTTATAATGGCACTTATAATTTTAAGAGGCGGTTTTTCCTTAAAAAACGATTTATACTAAAAAATTCGTTATCTTCTACTTGATTTTTTAAGTCACTAATTTTTAATTTCAAGCGAGCCACATTGCGACAAAATCTGTACAAAGTTTATGTGAATATCAAAAAAAGCGTCGTATGGACTATCAAGCGTAAAAAGGAGCCGTTTTTGCAAGTATAAATTCGCTCGTCGCTGCGGCCAGAGGACTTAGACCCTACCTTGCCTAGCAGCGCGAGTACTGATTGAACTAAAGACTCAGCTATTTCTTCAGACCAATTTTCATTATTCAGTGGTTAGCCTGCTATTTCTTTGCTATATGATAATCTAAGCGCTCAACTTATAAGACTCTTTCTCTTATGAGAAAAAAGCAGCCTTAGATTATCTCCTCTTCAAAATTAATATTGCCTAGAAATGAAATTGAGTATTCGTTGCGGCGCTGTCGGACTTTCCTTCGATAGATGCAACAGTACTCAATTGTATTTCAAACGGCTCATTGAAGCAGCGAACTACGTGGATAACACTGTGTTCGCTATTCGTTAATTGTAGCAATATTAAAACTCAAAATACTTTTACGTGTCAACTTCTTGCTTACTCTTGAAAACACGATTATCAATAGATCTTAGAGTCCGAACTATTTATTTGAATAACGTAGGATAAGGATTAAACGTTACACTTGCCTATATTGCAAGGGGAAAACTCATTAGCTATGGTGCGCCACAGCTATGCCTCGCGATTTTGGGTTCTATTTCGGTTAAGGAAGCTAGCGCTAACTCCCACAAATACAAATTCACTGTAAATGGCTGAAAAATTGAGGCCAAGCAATTAAGAAATATTAAACGTCGATTTCATATATATACATAAAAATGGCGATCTTTTTATTACACCTTTATAACATTAATTACAAAATTAATCAATTATTTCTAGATTGAGTGAGCGGACTCGCTCACATATCAAAATGCGATCAACAAAACCAAATTTGAATTAATAAGTAAGAATTACAAAGACTGAGCATATTCGCTCACTCTCGGAAACGCGACAATCAAGCGTAATTTGAGCTGAGATAACACGAGCGAATTCGCTCAGTGTCTTCGACGCTGACGGATGAAATTACGGCCGCAAAGTTCCGAGCAAAAGCTGGTGCAGAGAGATAGAAATAAATTTAGATGCTTTGGAGAACAACCCACCAGGTTCCGTCGTACTCCACTCGCAAGTGACAAACATATTGATATGAGCTGACAGAAAATTGGCTGCTGGCAGTTGTTCTGATTGGTCTGACTCGGTAACCTAGTACATTGGTATCGCAATTTGTTGTTGGACCCGCTGAAGCCTCGTGCTTTTTAAATGAATGTAAAAGTTATACATAAAAGCACGTGAGTGATTTTGAGGGAGTAAGCGAGATCTAAGAATTTAAATAACAAAAGCACTTGTTAGAATAGAAATCATTTAATGAGTAATAAGGCAATACAATCGAACGTAGCACGAAAGGGTAAGAGCCAAGAATTAGAGTTGAGTGTCAGGGAGAGAAAGAAGCAGCAAACGAGTGGATATTTACAGTACACAGGAGCAAACGTACGCTCAAAAATATCTGGCTGATCGGAAAAAACACTCGGCTATAGTCTCTTGAACTGGGCCTAATCGCTGGGAGCCTAGATTGCGGTACGATGATGAATCGCTGCTATCAAGGCTTGGCTCGTCCGGTTTCTAAGCCCTAGATTATCGGATAGTAGCCTAGGGGCTCATCACACATACACACATACACACACAAAGCCAAAGAATAGCATTGACGAATGGATGTGTGTTAACTCGTACAAGGTTCTACTCTAAGTGCCCAGCATTCTCTTTCTCTCTCTCTGCTTTTCATTAGCATACCACGTAGATTTATCAACTATTCGCTTTCTTTTCCTCTGTAGCAACAGTTCAATGGCAGCTGTCAATCTGTTTCTTATCTTATGGTTAACTGTATGATGTCGGTCAATTATATTTTTGCCTATAAAAATAGAGATTTCTTAAAACTTTAAAGTTAAATGTCATAGTAAAATTTCATGTACAGAAACCAGTTTAGGCGCGTTTGGAAGGTCTTTTCAAGAGATTAGACTGAATAAACGTATGCCTAATAACGATAAAACAAAACGAACAAATTGTGACATAAGAATCAAAACAAATATTCAGGTGAAGATAAGTAAATACTGCCAGAATGAAAATATAAATAAAATATGATAGTTCAGCACTATATTAAATTCAAAGTTTTCAAATGTTCATTATATTATTTCCTTTATTATTATGGTTAATAAATTGAATATAGTAAAAATATAGTACTGAACCATCATATTTTATTTGTGTTTTCTTTTTTGTAGTATTTACCTAGTTTTATCTGAATATTTGTTTTGATTCATTTGTTAGGCTCTGTTCGTTTTGTTTTATTATTACTTAGACATAAGTTTTTTCGGTCTGACTATATTGATATTTTCAAGGATCGTTTGAAAAGTCCGTGCACAATCAGAGATAATGCAACTGGTGCGTATTGAAGTTTCTTTTCAGTTAGTAGCATATCTTGGAAGAGCATACATCAAATTTCGGTCAATTCTGTCTATTATTTCGTGTTTAACGTTCGTTTGAAATAAAGAAATCAAGTAGTTGTAAAAAATGTCTGAAAAAAAATTTCGTATGTTGATTGAAGATTACTTTATTAGAGGTATAACACTTCAGAAAACTAAACAGAAGCTTTATCAACAGTATGATGATTATGCACTTTGAATTATAATGGTTTATAAGTGGTTTCAAAATTTTCAGAATGATCATATGAGCACAAATAACGCTGAACATCTTGGACACCTTATTGTGGTTAACACTCCAAAAATCATTAATAAAATCCGTGATATATCGATGGCTGCCAGAAGTGTGAAGGTGCGTGAAATTACTAGTGTTGTAGGTTTCTCAGACGAATGGATACATAACATTTTGCCGCAACATTTGGACATGAAAAAGCTACCCGCATAGTGGGTGTCGCGATTGTTCACGATTGACCAAAAACGAGATCGTGTGTAGCAAGAACAGTTTTGAGCTGTTCCAGCAAAATGCGCAGGACTTTAGGCATCGTTTCATGACTACGAATGAAACATGGACACATCCACTATACTCCTTAGACCGAATAACAGCCTAAACAATGAATCTGTACCAAAAAAGGTAAAGACCATTCCTTCAGTTAGGAAATGGTGACTGTCTTTTAGGATTCGCAAATAATCTTCACCAACTATCTAAAAAAGGATAAAACCATTACAGGTAAATATTATTCATCGTTATTATATCGTTTAATAAGTAAATTGCAAGACAAGCACCCAAAATTGATCTACAAAAAAGTTCTCTTCCTTCCCGATAATGTACCATCCGTCACCCCGGCAAATATGGCTGCAAAATTGATGGGAATGAGATTTCAACACGTTTCATATTCCACCTATTTTCCATATTTTAATTCGGCGGACTATTATTTGTTTCCTAATATGAAAAAATGGCTGACGAGGAAATGATTTTATTCAAACGAGGAGGTAATTATAGGAACGAATTTTACAGACTTGGACAGATCCTATTATTTGGAAGGAATCAACAAAATAGGGCAGCGTTGGATAAAGTAATAAGCTTAAAAGGAGACTATATTGAAAAATAAAAAAGATTTATTAAAAAAAATAAGTAGTTTTCATTTTTGCATGGTCTTTTCAAACGACCCTGGGATATTACAATTATGTCATCGTCATCATCAACAGCAACATCCACATGTTGTCAAAGAGAAGAAGCATAAGTCGATGTGTCACTCGATTTGACTGCCACTGTAAGTACTTGAATTATAGAAATAAGTAAATGATTAATAAATATAAATTAAAAATTATAATTAAAATTTTTTTTACAGAGAAATATTCCGACGGTGAAGAATGTTAAGTACGTTCGACGAAAAGTTATATTAATTCCGGCCTAACCAACGGTCAGGAAACCCACTCGCCCCTCGAAGGTCGTAGGATCGAAAAAAATTGAAAGAATAATATTAAAAAAGAAAAAACATTGTAAAAATTGTAGAATTTATGAAATAAAATAAAATAAAATAAACTAATAAAATAAATTAAAAAAAATAAATAATGCATCAAACCATTAACGCGCAAAATCGCATTTTTGTGCACACAATTTCAAGCGTCCGACTCATACAGAAAAAAACGGTTTCTTTTTCCCAAAATACCAGCTAGGAGGTTTTCGAAAGTGCTCTTTCAGAATCTGGTACCAGTTTTATGTTAAATTGTCAACAGCCCTATATATTTTGCATTTTAATAAAAAAAGACCCATTTTTCCGGTTTTTTAAAAATTTTTTCTCGATTATTTTCCTGTTGCGGCATTCAAATCAATATTCTATCAACAGAAATCGCGGTCCCGATGTTTGAGCTTTCGTAAACCGTCTGGGGAGATTTTTTTTTCTTCCAGCATTTTTACAAAATGGCGGTTTTTTATAGCAGTGCTCTATGAAAGTTTATATTTTTTTACTCCAAAAGTATCAACTTTACAAAAAAAGTTAGTACTATAAAAAATATTTCAAATTATTCAAAGAATATATGTGAATTTTTTCAGAGCTGATTAAAAAAATTTTGGCTTTGAAATTGTGTGCACAAAAATGCGATTTTGCGCGTTAATGGGTTAATTTACTTTTGAGAGAACACGTGAGATATATATAGCATATATATATATAGTACGTAGTATATAGTATAGACCCCTATAGAGCATGCGTGCAGCTATAGTTAGTTTGGAGAGCAAATGGAGAACAGTAGTTTGCTACTATACTAGAGATGTCAACTCAAGCGAAGAAGAGAGGGAGAAAGAGCATGCTTTACTACTATAGTAGCGCATCCCCAAGCTAGCACTATAGACAGCATGCCCACTATGGTTTACGCTGAGCCAGAGCTAGAGAGAGAGAGTTACATATGCTGTTATGATTAGGTATTAAGTAAAGGCATATATTTAAAATTAAATGCTTTTATTCATAAAATTTAATATGATGTATAGTATGTTATACATTTTAATTTGTTTAGCTTATGTTGAATTGTATTAATTACATTTTATTTAAAGAGTATATTAACTATATTAAACTGATTTCTTTACATCGCCGCTGATAGGATTATACTGTACAATTCGATCGTGTAGAATTAAACAATAGGCTGCAGTATTATCAGGAATATCTTCTCTCATGTCAAACTCTAGGCGGACGTCTACAGGAGCACTTTTGATAGATTCATTTTGTTCCGAACAATCTATCACGATTAACGGTAATTTTTCAATGAAATTTATTTTATTAATCAATGGTTCATTTTCTTTTGCATAATATGCACTTTGAAAGTTAACGTACATATCATAAATTACTGCATACTGATTTTGATTAATGTTTAAATTTAGATTTCTATATGGATAGCATTGAGAGTTTAGAAATAATTTAACATCACAAATGTTATAATGGTCAAAGTGACTAGAAGAAGCAGCTACTTCATTTTTTCGTTGTGTCTAAAAAGCTAAAATAACGAAACGAGGTTTTTCCAATTTTCCACACTCCAGACATGTTTGGATATTCGAGGTAATTTTGGCTACTCGTATAACTCCCAAGTGCAATAACTCATATCGATCGCTCTACCACGACTAATTTAATTAAGTAATTTGATTTTTTTCTCTATCAGCTGCTACTACATATGGCACTATAACTATTCAATTTTATTCAGAGTAATTTTAATTTTTTCATAAGTAATTACTCCATTTGTATTGATAGATGTGATTATGGTAGCATTCAAATCATTTCTCGATTTTGTAATAATAAGCTCATGTTTAACATTTACTACAATTTTTCGATAATATTCAGCAAATCCAAGCAGCATACTGAGAGGTATAGTAACATCGAAATAACCTTTATCATTTGTAAGTGATACTTCTTTGTCACTAATCCAACCAGCATATATATAGTATGCACTTTACGTTAGTTTATATAAGACCTGTAGTAATATTACACTCTACGCGTAAAGCATTCACTTTGAGTATAGTTACAAGTAAATCAGAGCTATAAGTTTCGTTTGCAGATAGCTCTCATCTAGTAAAGCATAAAATTGAACCAATAGAATGTTTTGATTTGAAATTTATTTTATGACTACACTGAATAACACTACGTAGAGTATTATTTTGTGGTTTACACTAATTGATATTTGATTAAGCGTTAACGTTTCATGTAGAAAACTCTCAATATCTTCTATCTCATAGCTACCTATCGGTAAAACGATTTCGTGTTCGCCAACGTAAAATTTATTATTACCAACGTCAATATTTGGTATTGAATTAAATGTTAATAGCTCATTAATTATTAATTATTAATTAACTAATTATTATAATTATTATTAATTAACTAATTGTTAATGTTAACTAAGCCTAGTATATATTTTTTATTAGGTGACAACTCTATTGGTGAAAAATAATTTTCTTCAAGAACTGATAAACTTCCTGACAGACTCAACGTTCGTGTGTTCTCCATCAGAGTTTTTTTATTAAATGACTGTTTTCTCATTCATTACATCTATTTATAGTTTATTCGAAAGAAATTTTAGGCAAAGGTGTCCGCAGTTATAGGTATTGAAATCTTGATATCTCATATAGTTATATTTAACTTTTTTGACTTTGAGTAATAAATCTATAGGAGGTTGAAGATCACCAAAACTATCAAAATATATAACTTCATAACCTTTCTTTTTATATGCTACCCAGTGCGTACCTGGTCCATTTTTATCACCTAAATTGATAACAGCTGATTCTTGATAGTGAGGTTCGTCAGATGGTAAATCGTTACGCATGAGAACACCTCAAAAATTTGCAATTTTTAGTATTTTAGCATATTTTTTTATATCAAAATTAGTTAGAGAGCGTTTAGGCAAAACTATTTCAAAGTTTTTTTTTTCTTAAACCTTGTCCACTAACATGTGGTTTGAGATGAAGACCATAACCTTTACTATGAGGCTTCAGATAAAGACCTCTACCTATAGCAATAGCCTTCATAGTTTTGTTATGACTTTGAGCCTCTTTCAGCTCATATTGAGCAGCTATTGCGATATTCACAGTTTTCGCTATTGAAGCAGCTCCTTCAGTTAGAGCTCCAGTGGCGCTCAAAGCGACAAATAATGGAATTAAAAAAGGAAGCGCTTTACCAACTTTACTGGTAATAGGTAAAATATGTGGTATATTTATTTTACTTTTACCACCAGCCTTTTTCACAGCTTCTTTGGCTTCTTTTATAGCCGAACGAATAACTACAAGAGCTCGATTGTTAGGCACACGAATTTTCGAGACCACCTTAATAATTTTATTCAATGTAACTGATGGTTCTTTGATTTTTATACGTTTCTTTTGTGTTTGGCGTTTTTTGAATCCTCTACCTCATTTCTTACTACCTTTCTTTATATCAACACCCATACCAAGCTTACTTTTAACTTTCATAATGTTGGCAACAGTGAAGGCAGCTGCTTTCTCACCAAAACTTCTATCTTTAGCTAACAGTCTTTCCCAAGCTTTTTTAGCTAGAATTTCGTCAGCTTTATTTCTTGTCGTAATATCCTCTAGATTTGGCGCATAAGCGATATCGTGTTCTTTACAAGTAACGTTTAGCAGATTTTTACCAGGATTTTCACGTGCCAATCGTTTGTGCAATTTTGTATCAGGACAACAACACTGATATCCAGGTAAGTGAGCTTCAATAGGTAAGTTATTTATAATCTTGTTCACGAGATCATCGCTAGTCTTTCTTTTATACGTACGTGATCATACTTCTTCGAAAGACAACATGTTAATGAAATAAAAAATATATAAGCAGTCTTTTTATACCAAAAAACTCATTCATTGACGTATCGATGACGAGTAAACAACATGGATTTCAAAGAACAGCCTCTTAAGCTTCAAGTCATTAATTTCGATGGAGTGGTAGAGACGGAAAAACAAGAAAA